AATGTCAACCTTGTTTTAAGATTCACCTTCGAGCATCTTCGAACTGTTATGCACAGCTATCATACGATATATAGGATTCATTTGATTTCGATAGATGAGTATTTGGTAATTTTGACGCCTAAAATAACGGCCGGTATTCCGTCGATACTTGCGTAAGTACATGTAATATGCGAAAGTAGAACATTGAAGCGTTTTCCAAACATGCTACTTCTCTTCAACTTCTCATTACATTCTCCCAAATTTGGAGAGTGCGCGAATTATAATATTACTCGCGCCCTAACACGCGCTCTCTAGCATCGCGTAACGCGCGATCGGGGACGCCAACTTTAACGCGAAACCGAGCGTTTTTCACAACGCGATTACGCGGGAGCGTTAATCCGTATTGTTTTTTTTTCCAGCAGATCGTGCGCGAATGCGGACGACCGCACTGTGTGTGTAGAACAGTTCGAAAGAGAGACAGAGAGAATGAGAGAGAAAGAAAGACAGAACAACGGATAGATTTATTCTGTTGCGAGATAAAGAGAGACAGAGGGAGAGAGAGAGAGAGAGAGAAAGAGAAAAACGGCAAGAGAGGATCGCATCGCATTCGAGCTCGCGCGTGTGCGTCCGGCGTTTTTAATGCGTGTTACCCGGCGGAACCGCAATCCGCTTTTGCGGCGGATGCCGGTGCTGTCCGCAGCCCGCCGGTTGGCGGTTTCCGGTAACGCGCTTTGGCGCAAACCAGCAAGCACGCCTGATTTCGAAATTGCAAAACATTTTCACACTCTTGTGGTTCCAACGCCGCCCGACGAACCCCCGTTCCCTGCCGCCCCCTCCCCTCCACGCCTCCCTCTCACCCTCCCTTCCTTCCCCCTGTCCTGCCGTTGTACGCACGGTGCCACCTTCCGCTCCCTTTGCGTTTCCCGATTTTTTTTCCGCGTTCCACCACACACGCGCGTGCACATCGCCGTTTAAAATCACGCATACTCCTAAAACGCGCTTCGCGCGCCCGAAAAACGCGCGTCATCGCCGCGCGAAAACGCACCGCGCGTTTCACCGGACGCCGTTAACGCGAGAAAATGCTCGGATCTGTGTAACGAAAACGAAAACGCGACATAACATTCCGTCCGCGATATCCCAGTTTAGGAATTTAGGAATATCGGAGAACACAAAATATAGGTTTCTACATATTCCAATTTTCTAAAAATTTCGTCCGCTATATCACATGGAAAAATCAAGTAATTTTCGTATTACATTATATCGAATACTTCTATTCTGCATATATTCTGCATATTTGAAAGGAATAATAATTTTCCTTTTACTTCATTTTCTCGTATACAAGATTTGACGTTTTCTTGTTTCAACATTCTCAGCTTACTGTTTGTGGCATCTTAACTATCTTCTTGTTTCTTTCTCTATTCTCTCTTTCATCTCTTTTTTCTACATTTCCGAAATTTTATATCTACATCAATTACCAAAGCGTCATCATAAAATCGTTCACGGTAGGATTCTATCGCGTAAAAAAACTCGAGACGCGCGTTTAATGACGATGCAATCGGCATGTCGCTCGTGTCTTAGCGGCTCATTTTAAAGAGCTGACGGCGAGATCGTTGCTGCAGCCTTCCCGGCAGTTATTCCGGCGCTCATCGATGCCCCGAGATTTCGCGTTTAATTGTGAAGCGTTTAACCAGCATCGGCCCGCGGCGACAGGCAACGCCGGAGCAATGCCGGAGTCGGAGTGTGCAGTCATTAAATTATTCCGGAATGTGAGCCCGATGGGTGTCCCCGATCGGTCCCGACTCTGAAACGGCCCGCGTTCGACAGAAGAATCGGCCGGTACATCTGACGCGAGATCTCTGTACAACTCTCTCGCACGTGTGTTAGACTGGCTGCGCCAGTCTTATTTCCACGCGCGTCTCGGCGACACTTATTTTCTTTATAACCCGAGTGACCTTATTGAAACTAACGAGCTCGCTCAAAACTAGTTCGGGAATAAAAGAACGAAAGAAGGGGGATTTACCTTATTAAATATTGACTTATAGCAACGAAAACGCGCTAGAAAATAAATGACGGAAATGACGGATACATGTCGGATAAAAATGATTTCACGGTTCATAGGATAGACTTACAGAGACGCGCGTTATTGAGAAGAATTAAGTACCATTGGAACGTGTGCAAAATATATATGATAACTCTTCATGACTTCTGTTAAATAAAAACAAAAGTTCCCATATAGAAATATCTTGTAAACCCGTTGAACTCATATGGTTCCGTTAACAGGAAGTTCTAGTGATCCTTCTAATCTTTAAACCTCTTCAGTTCTCTCACGATTCTACTGATTACATCCAGACACTTGTTTTATAATATATATAAATCGCAACGCTTCGTTTGTTCGGAGGTTTAATTCGAGGAAACTGAATCGCTTCTAGATGTCTAATCGTTAATACATAGCTTCGATGCAAACATCCCATCGCAGAATATCAGCGTCGGTCAACAGCATCGGTGCACTTTCGATCGAGCGGATATCTCATTGCGGCACGTGCAGATTCTCGAGGCACCCTCCGCGGGAGGTGCGCCCGGGCTCTCTCTCTCTCTCTCTCTCTCTCTCTCTCTCTCTCTCTCTCTCTTTCTCTCTCTCGGCTCTCTCCCGGGATATGACGCGAATCAGTGACTCCGAAAAACGATCCTTCGGTACGCGCGGCACGACGAGAGGGGCGAGAGCGAGTGTGTCGGCAAACAAAATCGGTCGGTGGAAGCCCGCCATCGGCGGGCTGCAGCGGGCAGCGGCAGCCCAGGTTACTCTTCTCTCTTCGTGGCCGATGCGCACACACGTCGTCCCCGCGGGCTGAGCGAAAACGCAAAAACGTCAGCGGCAAGATCCTCGAATGATTTTTCGAACGCGCAACGAGCCCGCGAGCTGTCCCGTCCCCCTCCACCCCCCCATCCGCCACCCAACCGTTTGTTCCGATTCCCGCTTTCGTTCCGAATCGAATCGAACGTTTTCCCCGATAAATAACGTCGCATTTTCGGCATACGGCCGGCAAAAAGGCTTTTGCGCATCGCGCAACTCGCCGCCGCCGGCAACGATGCGGAAAAAGCGCGCGTCAGACACGTTAGATCTGTCCAATTGTTTGCCTCCTCCTCCTCCTCCTCCTCCTCCTCTTACCGATACCTCTTTTGCCGTATTGGAAATCGGACTCGTTAGTGGTACACACGATTATCGATATATTTCATGGAAAACCATCGGCGGCTAATTACCAATGAGAAATTTCCCGTTGTTTCCTCCTCGCCTCTCCCCTGTCCCCCCGGCAACGTTCCACTATCGAACGGAAATTATAATCGGACAATTATAATTAACGAAATATATAACGCGATACCCGTTCGACGCGATTTCCATAGTTTGCTCCATGCAATAGCTACAAAGTATCATATTGTTATACTTTGAATCGACTAATTTTATTATTGGGAGATTATTGCGTCGCATTTTATCATTACAATGGGCCCTCTCCCCTCCCCCCCTCTTCTTCCGTCGCTCTACTTAACGCACATCCAGACGTTAAAGTTCGAGAGATACGGACGCAAAGCATCTATCTATCGTTTCCTCCGTCGCGATCTTCTTTCGCTATTAACCGCCATTTATTGTACACTGGCTGCCGTTTATTGTTGCATTACCGCGGCTAATTACCGCGGCAGTTGCCCTTTGACTCGATTAATAACAACGAGTGCGCCCAGCGATACCCAGCCACGTGCTGCGCCGCGTTTCCAAATTTGTTCTACGGGGAGTTTACGGGGTCGCCAACCGGTCCATCGAGCGCGGAGAGAAGCGGATAGAAAGAAGAATCGAAAAGGACGCGACGGGGAAAGGGGGAGAGGGGGGGGGAGGGTCTCCGTGAGAGAGGGAGACAGAAGAGGGCGATTCGTACCATTTGGCTCGGCTTCGACGTCGGTTAACGCAGCGGGGTTACCGCGGACGCCTCGACGGACACATTGAGGGCGCCCGCTCGACTTGATAATCGCTTGCCATTCATACACTTTTCATTGGATTGCGATTGAGCATTAAGAAACCGGGAGACCCGGGGGCTACGTCGCGCATTGCGTATTACGCCCGGGCGACGTATTAGCATTAGGAGGCATCATCTCGAGTGTAAACACTGCATGGGCACCGCGGATTTAGTCACAGTCGAGAACCGCGGGACGTCCCCGATATTATCGTCCCTTTTCACGTTTTTTTTTTCTTTTACCTTCGGCAGCACGTTTGCACCCCTCCGGCCGATACCCACCTCGTAAACGCGCCGGAGATCCATTAACCTCCTCAGGAACCGCTTCTTTTTAATTCGGTCTCGATCTGACTCGGTTTTAAGTCGTAGGATTTAAGTTTTAAATAAGACAGCGAGATAACTTTTACGTCTTTATTAGATTTACTAATACATCCAGTATATACAAATATTACATACGGCATCACATGACATTTTTGAGAGGTGAATATTGACATTTATATATATAAAGATTGTTTCGATATAATCCGACGTTTACTTCATTATAAAGAATACTAGGTGTATTTTCGGGGGAAAAGAAGCTTTTTTTTTATATAGAATATATAAAAGTTTAAGAGATAAAGATGCAATGAAAAAAATATTTTGATCTAGCAATTAAGTTACATTATTAAGCGATATTCTCTAATAATCTTTTATCAATAGACTCGGATTTACTTCAATTATTTCAATATAAAATTCAATATAAATTTCAATATAAAAAATATATAAAATTATAATTTTCGTAATGTCTTACGTTACAAGAAGAAATGAGACATAAAGTAAAATGCCCGTATAAAAAATTCTAACAGTAAGTGAGTTATATACCTCGCGCATTAGCTTTTCACGAGCCAATCTGCGCGTTAGCACGCCCGACGGGTCCCGTTCTATGTACATCCCTACGAGCGAGATCGACCCAAAGACATCAACGAAAGAAATATCTGAGGGAGGATCCGCCGGAACGCTGCTGACACAAGAAAGTTTCGTCGCCGATCGTGGGGCGGAGGAGAAGAAAGCGGTTTGTCGTTGGCCTTAACCGCGGAGGATTCACGGTTAAAGCCCACGAGCGGCGGACGTCGTTCATGATCCCCTTTATCCAATCCGTGAGGATCCGCGGGGCGTTAAATCCCTCACGGGAAAGCTCCGTAACTGAGCTCTCGCGTTCGCGCGCGCTAAGTCGGTCAGCTCGGTCCAGCCGAGCGAGAGGATCACAATACCGGCGCCGACCGCGGCCGGGCACATCCATCCCCGGCTCGCGCGTTCTCTCCCCGTGAAAATTAGTTGCGCGAGAAATCCATGCTAATGTCGGCTAATCGGCCGTAATCAGCCGTGAGAGCTGACGGCTGTCGCGAGTCGACGTACTGTGGAAGATCACGACGAGAGGCGGATCCTCTCCTTCGGGCCGCGTCAGCGGATTTGATCGCTGACGGATTGACGCGCGAGCGGGCGGGATTCGTATTGAAAACGATCGTGTTTCCACAATCCGAAACAGCCTATTCTCGGACTGTAGCGCGAACTGACAGGTCAAGATGTAAGTAGACTTTTCGGACTCCTTTCCGAAGCGCACAACGCAGCGTTCCTTTGGTCCGATTTATAAAATTAATAAGCCAGGATTTGAGAAGCAGTCACTGTTCATTCATTATTAATTTAAATCACATGATTGATTCACAGTAACTTTACAATTACGTTGAATCTTTAATTTATCTGTTAATACAGTTAAAAAATTTCAAGAATACAAAATTAATACATTACTTGACTTGTAAAAATAAAATAAAAAGATAAAAAGTATAATATGAAATATAATTTGCGATAAAAGAATACCTACATATTTGTAACACAAATATAATATGATCACAAACTCGCAATTAATTAAGGCTAGATAATTAACTGCATTGCAAATATTTGAATTGCTTTTATTGGGATGTTTCTAAAATTTAGGACTGAACAAGAAGCTGGACAACCGAGTGAGCCTCCTACTCAAGGGGAGACTTATGATCCTCATAAGAGTCGTATTACTTACAGACCAGTGTCGTACGTTCGTTTTCTTTGAACTATTCGTTTGATTCTAATGTTTATTAACACATTAAATACCGGATTTAATTAGCTCGTCTTTCCGGCAACATCAAAAAGAAATTTTCATATTAAAAGCATATCTTGATGAAATATTTAATATATGTTTAATATACATATGAATATTTACACTATGTAAAAGTACAAGAATCATCGTTCGCTAGACAGAACAAAATTAGTAACGGCTATAGAATAAAATTTAAATAAGTTGATTTAGTGTTCAGAAAAGGGAACTTAAAAAAAATAGATAGATTCTATAAAAAAGGATAATAATAAAGAATAGAAAAATATAAGATATATAAAAATATAGATAGATTAGATATGTAAAAGATATATAAAAATATATAGAGATTAGATTTTGCTATGAGTGAGTGTGTGTGTGTGTGTGTAATTTTGCAATTGCATCTTTTTTTCTCTTAATCCTTTCTAATCAACTACTCGTATACTGTCTCGATTATTGCAAGACTCTTCTTCTTGCAGAGACTTTGGATCTCTCGCGAACTTAATAAAAAGCGCAGCCGGAACAGGTCTCTTCGCCATGCCGAACGCGTTTGCCTGCGTCGGGCTCTTTCTCGGGATTGTCGGTACGGCGTTTATGGGATTGCTGATAACCGTGTCCCTTCAGTTACTCGTCAGAATTCACCATACGATGTGCATCCGTCTAAGGAAGCCCGTTTTGGTGTACGACGAGGTGGTAGTCGCCACTTTAACCACGGATGTGCGAAGACCATGGCTCTCGCCGCGCGCTGCAACGTTCGTAATTTCAGTAATCGCGTTATTTCACGTCGGATACCCTTACGGCACGACACGTTGCGCGATATCAATGCGATACTTTACACCGAAACGTAAACGATCATAGATATAATTATTAGGTGTAATGGAAGTGCATTTACGTTATTTTACGGTATCTTACTTCGAAGAGACAAGCAATATAGATAAGTGTACCTATTAAATATATTGGAGACATAGAGCGGTTTGAATTCTCAGTCGTTTTGCAGACTCATCGTCGATATCACCATGCTGGCGTGCTACATCGGGATTGGTTCGGTTTACGTCGTCTTCATTTCTGGCACCATCCAAGAGTGTGTAGACAGTGAAAAAGCCATCGGTCAAAGCTACTACGCGCTCATGATATTTCCACTTCTTTTTATAATGAACATGGCGAAGAATCTGGCGGATATCGCGCCGATTTCTATCGTCGGGAACGTTTTGCTCATCGCCGCCGGCCTCATTGGAATCGTGTATGCTTTGAAAGACGGAATCGGCGACACGTGGAGCCCGATCGGGCCGCACGTGGACGAATACCCGAAGTTCATCGGCGTGGTTTTCTTCAGTATGTGTTCTCCGGGGGTGGTGAGTCATTTAATAAATCAAATTAACTTCAGTTTTCTATAATTCATATAATTTTAATTTTCTCAAATTATATAGAGAATTGTTTTGCCCCATTTTTGTACTTGATATAATAACACGCATTCGATAATGACGTTTCGAATTACAATGTCTTTAGATATTGGCGATAGAACATAGTATGAAAAAACCATGGAATTACGTTAAATTTTGCGGAATACTGAACTGGGGCATGATATTTTTGGTCGTGATACACATTCTCGTCGGAGCTATTGGTTACTTGAAGTGGGGACCCGCTGCGCTTGGCAATTTTATCCGTAATCACGAGATACACGACGGGTAGTGTGCTTCCACTAACTATAAAAACTATGCTATAATTACTTCCAATTTTATAAATTTAATTATATAAATTTTCTACCCCTCCTTAAGTACAATTTAAATAAAACTTTTGCAGAATTTCTATATATTTAAAGTATAAAAATTAATATATTTAAACGTCAAGCATTAGAAATTTACAAAGAAAGATTATCCGCAAAAATTTTTTATGGAAAGCAAAAATATTCATTACAGAATGCGATTGCAAAGTTTCGTTACTTTTAAAATACTCTAAATATATTAATACATATACCTCACCGTTTCATTGATTATTTATAGACCGACGATAACGGCACTGATAATGCAAGCGCTGGCAATATACTTCACGTACGGGTTGCAGTGTTACATGCCCATTAGGATTCTGAATTACAGTTACATCATACCGGCCATCGAAAAAGGCACCTGGAGAGGAACGCCGTTCCTCTGGGATCTGATCATTCGCTTCGGCATCACCATCGTTACATGTAAACGACAATTTCTCTTTAAACCTCTTTTACGCGTTGTTCCTCTCTCTCTCTCCCTCCCCCCTCTCTCTCACTCTCTCTCTCTCTCGTTACCTTGAAGATAAACTCGGCCAAGCTCGATGGACCGCGGCGGATTGAATCCTCTCTCCCTTTATCTCGGAGCGACCAACTTCGTGGAATCGATCAATCCGTCCGATTACAGTCCGCTTTGGACCCAGATATTACTAAAGTTCAGGAATCCTTTCGCGGAATTTGATGTAGATACTCAATTTTGTCGAAGTCTCGTTTGACCGGGATCACTCCGGAGTTACTACAACGTTACTAACTGCGTTACTTGCTTTAATTTGCTCTAATTACGTTAATCGATACGCGTGCGCGTTGTTACTCGGCGTTACTACGGAAATTTTCTCGGAGATAAAGCGGGAGATACCCTTTATTCCTTGTATTTTGCAGGCATTCTGGCAGCGGCGATCCCGAAGCTCGATCTGTTTACCGGTCTGGTCGGCGCGATATGTATATCCACATTGGCCACGTTGATCCCGGTTACCCTGTACATCCTCGTACACCACGAGGATTTCGGAAAGTTTAAATGGAGACTAATACTGGGCGTTTCCATGTTATCCATCGCTTCTTTCGCGGCCATATGTGCCATAACGACTAATTTCATCTTAATCGTCAAGTATTTTCAATACGGGTGCGTAGCATCATATAAATAACAATATTATTTAAATCGAGATATTAATAATTTGTAATTGTAGAATATTACAATTTAAACAGTACTCATAGAATTTTTTAGAAAAGTTTAAAAAATTGTATTATGATCTGTTATTTTTAAACGTTTTCTCGATTAAACGAAAATCTGTTTGAAAATAATTTAAGGCAAATTTAACGATTTAAAAACTAAAATAGCTTTTGTGCTCGTCAAATAACGCTTCCAAGCTCGTTTGGGATCTTGATTATGGTATACGGTCGGAACATATTCGTATTTACGTCAACACAAAAGAACGACGAGATGACAAACTTTTTATTCTTTTCAGGGATTGAAGCCGGAGCGACGGCGGTGTTATCTTAATCTAGTCTCTGTTCGTAGTCCGCAGCCCGATGAAAATACCGTCGGCGCGCCTCGTAGCGTTTCCCATTTTTGTCTTCGGGCGCAGCTCTAAAGCCGCCACCGTTTACGCGCGATTCAGCCTAATCACGGCAGCTGCGGCGGCGGCGGCGGTGGCGGCGGTGGCGACGACGGCGGCGAGGCGGCTGGAAAAACCGCGAAAAAGGCGTGAAGCTCGTGAGGGACAAAAAGCGAGGAGAGCCAGAAAAAAGGAGAGAGAAAAGAGGGAATACGGCGAGAGAAGCGCGCGCGACGTATAATCGCGTCAGATCACCGAGGCGTCAATGGCTGCTGCTGCTGCTGCTGCTGGGCTTATCACGCACACACACATACACACATACACACACACACACTCACATACACCATGGGATATGAGGAGAGAGAGAGGGAGGCAGAGATACATGGAAACTGGCAGACACGTATCGACACGGCGAATGTACGGTCTGTACGGTCGTGTGGGTGCACGTGAAGGCCAGGGGGACGACGTTGCGCAAACGGCGAGAAAGAGAGAAAGAAAGAGAGAGAGAGAGAGAGAGAGAGAGAGAAGGAGGAGGAGTAAGGGCTATTTTCTTTCTCTCTCTATCTAGGAAAAGGAACCAAAGCAGCGACGGCGACGGCGGCGGTGGCGGTGACGGCGGTGGCGGCGGCGGCGGCGGCGACGGCGCGAAGAGAGAGCCTCAGCGGGACACGGAAGGGTGCTTTCATCACATAGAGGACACAACCCCTTTTAGTGGCCACCGCCGTTTCCCCGCCGGCACTCTCCCCCCACGTCCTAACCGTATAACCGTGTCCCCCGTCGCTCTTCGGGGGCCGTCCTCTCTTTCTCTCTCAGATTCGCTCTTATACAGACTCCCTATGCCTGGCCGCTCATCCGTTTGCCAGTTCAAGGTGGCTGCGTTCATTACCGGAGGATACACCGGGTGTGGTGTGGGACTCCACCGAACCCGCCGTCGGCTTCCCTCGCCGTGCTTCCCTTCGCCGACCAGTCCTCCCCGGGAGAAAACGTTCCGTTTAATAATTATATCGATGAGTCGCCAAGGACGCCGCAACGCTCAAGGTATTGCGTGAATTGTGAAAGCACCAGCCGCGAACGCGTTAAATTCACCGAGAAAATTCGAAAAGCGTCCTAAGAAATCATTCTAGAAATTATCATCTCTTCCGATACGTCTAAAAATTTTCTAATGCCTTATACTGTATATTATACAATTGTTTTATAAATTATGCACGTGCTTAATATTGTAATAATATTCGAATAATAATATTTGAAAAAGATATACGTTATAGACTTTTTTACTTATATAATATGCAAAATAAATTAGAAATACCGAAATTTTTATTAAAACTTAAGTTTCCAAATTGCGAACATAAAACACTAACAATAAGACATTTACATTGAAGAAGCGACAATAAATAATCGAAATAATAGATACATTAAATAAACGAATATATTAATTTTATCAAGAACTGACAATAAGTAGCTCAAAAAATTAAAAAATTGCTTCTAAATGCATGGTGAATCACTTGGCATTTTTCTTAAAAAGACTACATTATAAATTCATCGAAAAATATACTTCTAAAATATTGCCCGATCATTTAGAAACACTCGACGTATAGATTTGTATGAATTGTTACACCTGTTGAAACATGCAAAAGCAATCGCGAGAGCACGTGGAAATATCGACGTGAAATTGAACACGTGCGTGTCCCTTTCATAAATAAGTAACGACCGACCAACCGAGAGATTGTTACTGAGATTTTCCTTTCTAATTGGAACGAAACGAAGTCCCCGCGCGGAATGGCGGAGATTAACCGACCGCACACGAGCGCACGTGCACTTAAACAGCCGCTAATTGCTAAACCGAGAGAGGCGGTATCGCCGTTGAGCGCCTCATTCCGAGTTTCCCCCGTTTTGCTGACGGGGAAAGTAAATTTTTTACAAAAGCAGATAATTATTAACCCCCTCATTATCAGGAACGATGTTGGAGGCATACATCTGATATTAAAAGTTCTTGTTATAAAAAAAAATATACAAAAAAGTGACACAGTTACGCAAGAATCTTTTCATTACATTATGTATAATAAAATCTTTTTGCAAATTGATAACAGGTAAAGAAAAATTTAATACTTTGAGATGTGATTTTTATACAATAGATAGAAATCTCAAAATATTTTTGAGAAATTTCGATATTGATATAAGATATTAGATTCTTTTTAATAAAAGTTACATTTTATTCACCTTCCTTTATATTTATAATAAAATCGTTTCTATAGGATGTGAATTTGTAAATACATGTAAATCAAAAACTTTACACTTTAAGACGTGATTTTGTAGAAAAATATCAACATTCATATGAAATTCATAAGGTTCTTTTTTATAAAAATTCTTTATTTTTCTCTATATATTTATTAATAAAATTTTGTTTCTAAGACGTACATGGTTACGTATCAGCAGATACACACATGCACATAGCCAAGTATCCGCGTATCTTCGAAGACACACCCGCGCCTTCACGTTCACAGATATTTCGCGGCGACGTCGACGTCGACAAGTTCACGATACTTCCTAGGAAACTAATACGACGAGCAGAAGGAAGCCGCGTAGGAAGCGAAACGGTCGAAGGAGGCGGATGGTAAGACAGGATAAGCAGATATTAACCGAGTTTACGGTGGCGGTGGATGGCAACGGTGGCGGGAAGGAGAGAGGGGGGAGGGGGGGATGGAAAAGGGACACTGCGTAGCAACCAGAAGGGGTTTGCTCGCGGCTTTCCTTCCGCCGGCTTCCTCCACACTCTCGTGTTGCGAGGCTAAGATGGAGAAGAGGAACGAGCACCTTAGCCGCCGCCGCTGCCATCGCCACCGCCGTCGTTTCTCGCCGTCGGAAACGGGGAACCGGGCTTCCCTTATCTCGAGTCTGCAAGACTGCCTCCAGTAATACCGTGCGCCGCTAGAAACCCTTACGAGCGACGAGAACCCCGTGAAATATCGCTAAACGGCTTGGTACCCCTTTCCCACACCTCTTCCACTTCGATCTTCCACGAGCGATGATCATCCACTCCCGCCTTTTCGAACGCCTTTGCGCCTTTGCGACCATCCCTCCGCACGTGCACCGGCCGTAACCCCCTTTTTCCCTACGATATCCATACTCTCACCAGCGAGATAATGCATATTGCACCAATGACAATGAATACGACCTGTCGACTGTCGACGTTAGTTTTCTCTCGCGTTCAGTGATTGGTGAACGTCGCGCATCGGTTAGTCTCCGCAAATATCGGTGCACAGCATAGAAAGTTTTTTTTTATATAAGAAAGACTCTGTAGTTTTTATCCTTTTATATTTCGAGATTTTATTTGTTGCGATTTAATTTGATGCAATATAATATCCAATTCGCAATAATTTTTAACTATTCATGACTGCAATAACGATATGCTGAAAACGATACCTTTCTCTTCGTTTTTCAATTTTTTTTAAATTCTTAATTCGTCTTTTTAGCGTTATATAGTTATCGATTATGCCTTCACGAATCTTCACGATCGTCGGAATTTAGATTTAGGCGCCGACACGCGGGCATCTTCGCGCGGGACACGAAAACGGGTAACAAGAAAACGCCGAGGAAACGAACGAGCGCGCTTCATTATACGCGACGCCGACACGCTTCGTTTGTCCCCGGAAGTTGTGCTTCGGGAGGGGTGACGTCGACACGGGGAGGAAGGGATGAGATGCGAGGAAGAGGCAGAACAGAAGGGAGAGTGAGGTGTAAATGGGTAGCCGGGGCGGAGGGGACGGCTTGAATTAATACAATCACGCGGGGGTGGCTCACCACTCGCAGTCCGTGGCGAAGAGGGTGAGAAGCAACGAGAGATAACCACCCCTTTGCTTGTCATCGAAATTATACGCTGCCAACACTCTCGACCTCGTTTACCATGCCGACTTTCTTCCTTCCCCCTTCATCGCGCGATCCGTCTTGCACGCGCTTCGTCTTTCCCTCGCTAAATATATTCCAAATTTTCGGCAGCCAAAGAATACTTGTACGTCAAGACGTCGAATCGAATTTAGTAATTAGAGGCCGAGTGCGTCAGCAATGAACTATACGCTCGGCAACATGATTAATAAAGTTTTCAATATGATAACAATGATATGTTTGTCTCTTTAATCTTTTAAGATTCCGACTTTGTGGACTTTAGCGATTTAAATATTTAATTATATTTTTTAATTATAAATTATAATAATTATATTTTTGAATTATAAATGAATTATCAAACTTTTAAATTATGAAGAATTAATTTATATTTTAATAAATCTAATATTTTGTTTGGAAAACTTTTATTTAATAAGTTCGAGAATAATTTAGTTCCTTTTTTATTTATCCTAGAATATATTTACATAAAATGAAATAAAAAAACGATGTAAATAAGCTTCAAGTCTTTAAACTGTCACTATAATAAAAAAAATTTGGTCCAATAATTTTGTCCAGGAAAACATCTGTCAGTTTTTTAAATTTACATCTCTTGTTCTTTAAATTTGCCTGTAACATATATATATTTGGTTAAGGTCTCCTAGAAGAACTGTATTTCATTACTGTCTTGGGAAAATCATGCGGCTTGGCGTATATATCACCGGGGGCATCGAAAATGATCGCGCTCACCTTGCGGAAAACCGAGCGAGTGCGAAAGAAACATTTCATTCCCCGTGGGAGAGCGCGCGGAATCGGGTTACGGAGGTTTTTAATAAAATCAGGCGCCCGCCGAGGCGTGTCAAATGGAAATATGCACGTTCGGCCGAGAGATTTTGCGGGCGGGGTGAGGCCTGCTCCGTTTGTAAAACGGGGGTGCGACTCGATAACGATGGAATTCATCCATCCATCCATCCATCCATCCATCCATCCATCCATCCCGCGCGGAGGCGGGCATGCTACACGGCGCGGAGAGAGCAACGGAAAGAAATTTTTTTTCCTTCCTTCATTTCCTTCCGCTTCCCTGGGCCTGTATCATAATCAAGAAGACACGGAGCGAATTAGCAATTCGGTTTCGCGCGAGATTTTGCCGGGC